CACATACATACATACACACACACATACACACACACACACACACACACATACATACACACATACATACACACATACATACATACACACATACATACATACACACATATATACATACACACATACATACATACATACACACATACATACACACATACATACATACATACACACACACACATACATACACACATACATACACCAAAAAACCAATGGGGTTTAATGGTTTGGTTATATTTATTTTTTATACTATTGTGTATATTATCGTTATATATATATCATTATTATCTAACTATTTATAACACACACACACACACAATGTAATGACTGCAATGGTTATGCAAATAATGGTTTTGAATTTTGTTTTTTATAGTATCTAAATGTGTTTGTATGTATGTATGTATTCGTGTGTGTGTGTGTGTGTGTGTGTGTAGTATTAAATTGTATTTTTAAGCTAAGTCATAAATTATAAATATTTATTTTAATGTACTTAATTGCTTTTAAACCAAGCATGTAAATTGCCTTAATTTTATTTTTGTTTGTTTTTATTAACACACATGTAAAGTTTAATTTAAAATATAATAATTAAACTATAAATGTGTAAAACTTATTTTTTAAAAAAATAATTTTATTAGTAATATTTTTTTTAAAAAAGTTAGAATAAATACAATTAAAAGTTTTAATATATATATATACATATAATAAAGTTTAAGATATAAATATTATTTTAGTCAATAACAACATAATTTTTAAAAAAAAAATTTATTAACAATTTATAGATTTTTAAATAACTGTTATATATTTTTATTATTTATGAAAAATAGTTTTTTTTCTTAAATTTATATTATTTATTATTTAATGGTACAGTATTAATTAAAAATATATAAATATTTATAACATTGAAAGCAAATAAATCAATATCATTATTTAGTATAAAGTATTTATATATTATTATATATTATATTTATTAATAAATTTTATAACAATCAATATTATTGATTACTGTATATGATATATATATAAATGTTGTTAATAAAACATATAAATTAAATAATTATTTATTAATAATATTTTTAATCAAATTATATTAATAATATATATATATATATAAACATTAATTTAATATATAGTATATAATAAATTATTTATACAAATCAACTTATTGTGCAATAATTTTTTTTATTATTTAAAAATTTGTAATGTTTTTTTTTATTTTTTAAACTAATTAATAATTTAGAGAAAATAATTAATTATTTAATAATAATGTTTGTTTAGATTACATAATATTTATGTTAATATTATTCTAACTTTTGTTGTTGTTATTATTATTTTGTTGTTGTTTTGACTAAAATAAACAATAATTACTACTATTTTGCTAATTAATTAAATTAACAAATAAATGTAATTATAAATATTTGAAAGTATCACTTTATTTTTTATTTTTTTAGTTATTTTACAATTCCCATCAGTAATAAATTAACTTGAAATGTTGAATAACTAGTAATTATAAATTAACATTATAATTATTTATTTAATATGCTTTTAACATTTATTTTTTTTTATTTTTAAAAACATAATTATAAAAATAATTTTTATGAATATAAATTAAAATAACTAAATTAAAAGTTATATATATATAGATATTAAACTTTAATTAAAATCTACTAGACAATTAATAATTAATAAATTTTTTATATAAACTAAATAATATTAAAATTATAAGTAAATAACAACAACAACAACAACTAAAAGTTATATAAAGTTATTTTTAAAAAAAAATAAATGTTTAAGTGTTGTCTAGCATGCTTAAATATTTTATTAGATAAAAATTTAAAATATTTTTAAATTTAATCAAATTTATACATACGATATGTTATATATATATCTATATATATATATAGCAAATAAATACTAATAAAAAGCAAACGGAAAATTGCTTAACAAAAAAAACAGTATAATATATATATATATATATATATTATAAATTTAAAATAATATATTTTAGACATTATATATATAATCTACAGTGTATTTGCTTTAAATAAAATAAAAAAATCTATATCTATACACATCATAAATGTCATAAATATACAGTATATACTGCAAATACATTATATATATATATATATACAGTATATCATATATTTGGGAAAAAATAATATATAAATAAATAAAAATATTAATGCATTTCAATAAAACTGTATGTATTTATTGGATACGAAAAAAAGGCCGACAAATATCAAACAAAACTGAGTGTAAGTTATATATATATATATATCCTGTATATACAGTATATATATATATACTATAGATAGATATATTACTTTACTATATATATATATAATATGAATCATAAATAACTTTCAACAATAATAGCGAGAATAATAACAATAATAATAACATTTTTAAATATGTATTTATTTGTTTAAAAAATATATAATAATAATAATATTGAGATATATTTAATATTATATATAATATCCGGTGCTTATCCCTAATCGGATTTATTATTATTTAATACAATAAGGTTAGAGAGCACCTGTAGTTACCGGTGTTGGTGTTGTTGTAGTAGTTATCAGCTCCTGATGATTGTTATCTATAGTGTTTTGATGTTGAAAAACAGTATTATTATTATTATTGATAATTGTGTTGTTTGTGGTCATTGATGGTCGTTGTTGTAGTGGTTGTTGTTGTTGTTGAGCTACCGATGATTTTTGGCACAAAATAAATTGATAAAACTTTTTGGCACCGTTTTTGAAACTACTGTTTAGATAACAGTAAATAAATGGATTGTAACTATTGATAATTAAAAAAAAATAAAATACAATAAATAAATAATATCTAAACATGGATTACTAATTTTAAAAAATTATTATTATTAATAAATATTTAATCAAAAAAAAATATTATCAAAATATAGTAATATAATTGTATTATCAAATAGTAGTAGTTTTATGTATAAATAATTTTAACTTATTTTCCATTTTGAAACTATATTTTTTTTGTTTTATTATATATATATATAAATATTCAGTATTTAGCGACAAAACTACTAAATAGATTATAAAAATATAATTTATTTTATGATATTATATTTAAACTAATAGTATAATGTATTTATATTTTTTTTTCTAAAAAATTTAAATTATAAATTAAATTAAAGTACTTGTAAATAAAAATTTTTGATAATTATTCATCATTTTAACTATTAGATTATATTTAATAAAAATTAGATTTATTAAATATTCATTATTATATGCGAAAATATTTTTTAAATATAAAATAGTTTATAAATATTAAATTTTTCCTTTAATAATAATAATACAATAGTATGAATAAATTTAATATATATAATATATTTTTTGAAAATAACTATTGTTTATATTATTGTAATACGTGTCATATAAATATATAATTTGTTTATCAAACAGTTTTATATCATAAATATATATATATATATTATATAAAAGTTTTAATAACTAAAGTATTCAAACGTAAAACTATTTTGTATTATATTTTAAAATTCAAATTTTATCAAAAAAACATTTATACTAATCTAAAAAATTTTATGATTTTTAATGAATAAATATAAATAATTTAAATATTTATAATTTTACTTTATTTCTAACTAATGTTTCTATTATTTAATTGTATTTTGTTTAAAAATAGCTATTATTATTGTGTTGAAAACTGTATATTAAAAATATAATTCATATTAATATAACATAATAATAATATACAGTAAAAAATGTTTTTATATATAAATTAACATAACATTATTATGTTAATAATTAAACCCTAAATGTAATAAATCATAGCTTATTATTATTATTATCTTATATAAAACTTTTATTTAAAAAAAATTATATATTTGTAAACTTTTATAATTATTTTTAACGTATAGTTTATATCCCATAATCTTATTAAAGTTGTTATAATAAAAAGATTTTTTAGTATAAACTTTTTTAAAAGAAAACTAAAATTATTTTTTTATGTATTTACATAATATTATAGTGTACTTATTATATTTTAAGTAAAATAAAAGTTTATATTAAAATTTATTATTATTAATAATTAATTAAGTAATTAATTATTTTTTTATTTACATACAGTAAATACTATATATTTATATATAATATACAATATTTTCTAAAATTTCACTTTCTATTAATAATGAAAAAAAACTATTAACTTAATTAAATAATAATAATGTTAATTAATAACATAATTATACTAGTATATATATACATTTTTTATATTAATTTAATTATCTAACAAGTAATTATAGATAACTTTGCTATCATTTATTATGCTAATTGTTTTTTAATAAATTAATAATAATTATATATATATATAGTATAACAACAAAATCTATTTAAACTCTACTTATTTATTGTTTTTTTTAATGCTAATTCACTAATCAAAAAAAAATTATTTCATTAATTAATTAATTAGTTAATTAATTATTTGAATTAATCAAATTAATTAATTAATTATTTAGTAAAATACTTACCAAACAGATGACATAGCAAACCAATGGCAGACAAGAAATATGTTATAATGTCTTGAAATTAGTTCAAAGTCTACCAATAAATGATACAAATTCAATGGTAACCTATATTTTTCGGTTTTCGGTTTGGGTTTTTTTTTGTAAAACAAAAAATATATATATATATAAATATACGTTAAACTATTGGTAATTATTATTTAATCAATAAAAACGTTAATTAATTTTTAGAAAAATAAACAGTAAAAAGGAAAATAAAAATACAGATAAAAAAACAGATTTAATTTATTTTGTCATTTAATATTAGGTATAGATATATACTGTATATATAAATATATTGATAAAATAGTTGTATTGCAATTCAATTAATGTTGTTATTGTTGTTGTTGTAATAGATGCCCATAATATTACATTTACAACTAAAAGTAAATATAGTATTAACAACAACAACAACAAAAAAATAATAGAAAATAAAATAGAGTGACCATAAATAAAATTTTCAAAAATCTGTAAATAATATATATTTAATAAATATATATATAAGTAATATATAATCAAGCATACCTATTTAGCTAATTATATATAGGTTTTATATATTGTATAAACATTTATGTACTGTAATGCTTTATATATATATATTATTAAAAATAAATTAAGACAAATTCAATTTATATATATAAAATTTGGCCACACTAGTTACAAATGTATGTAATAATTATTATACAAACTATGTTATCTAAAAAAATAACTTTTATTATTAGCATTTTTTATGTTGTTGTTTTTTATTGTATATATTTACAGTTAAATAACAAATTAAATATATGATTCAATTTAGTAATAATTATAATAATAATAATATTTGATAAAATTGTTATTCACTAAAAATATATTTAAAAAATAATTAACTTGTAATTTACAATAAATTACACAACATTTTAAATGTAAATATATTTAGTATTAAATGTATATATATTTAGTATTAAATGTATATAAATAATATTTTTTTAAATTAATTTATTAGCAATAATAATTAATTTTTAATTTGCTTATTACACACACATATTCATATATAAACAAAATATTTTTAGATTGAAATACGATTAAAAAATATTTTTATATAAAATTAATTAGAAACTAGAAATAATTTATTGCAATCAAACAATAAATAATTTATTATTATTATTATAAATAATATTACAGTATACTTGCCGTAAATGATAATTGATTTATGATTTAGCTAAATAATAATTTCTCATAAATAATAATCAAAATCATTAATGCAATTAATCAAATAATATATAAAGTAATATTCACAACAACAAAAAAACAAATTAAATATGTTATTAATTGAAAAACATTAATTACTGTATGTTTTTCCTATGAATTATATTGATTGTCAATATTTGAATTAAAAAAAATATACACTAATAATATAATATTAATTATTTATTGCATTTAAATTTAATTTTTTTTAAATAATATAAAATAATGTGTTTTTTCTGAGAATTTATTTCTATTATTTTTATTATATGATTAATTGCAATATGATGGTGATTATTGATAAAATGATTTTGATTAAATAATAATTATCTAGCTAAATCAAAAATCAATTACAGTTAAGTATACTGTAATACTATTAATATTACTATTAATATTATAATAATAATAATAAATTATTTTATTTGATATTTCTAGTTTCTAGTTATTTTTTAAAATATTATATTTTTTTATCCGATTTCAAGCTAAAACATATTATATATATGTATATGTGTGTATGTGTGTGTATGTGTGTGTATGTGTGTGTGTATGTGTGTGTATGTGTGTGTATGTGTGTGTATTATATTATTTATAAATATATTTATAAAATGCATGGCTAATTTTTAATCAAATTTATTTGTCAAAAATAATGCCGACACCTTATATATATACGATATATCATATAAAAATTTATTATATTTAATATTATAAAAATAAATAAATTTATAGATCAATACATATACATTACAAGTATTTAATTGGGTTAACTTTTTTTATATATTAATTTAGTTAAATAATCAAAATTCAGTAGACAACTAAATTTATCATCTTAACTTATTTTTAAAAAATATTATAGTTTTTAAAATGGTTGTAGTTATCAGTTACTTATTATTTTTTGTTTACTCTTAATAATTTTAAATAATTTTAAAACATATTATTATTATTATCTTATAATTTTAGTATAAATACAGTTATGTATATAAAATATAATATAATTATTTAGTCAATATTTATAATTAAATTAAACTATGATAATAATGTTTATTTAATATATATAATAATTTAATAAATATATATATAATTTATAATTTATTAGATAAATATAAGAAATAAAATAAACACCTTTTTTTATTCATTTATTTTTTCTAAAATAAATGTTTGCTTTTTTTATATATATATAGTATAGTTGAATAAATATTAATATTTATATATATGTTATATAACATTATAAATATATTATTTATAGCCTTATATAAAAATTCATTGACCATATTGTTAGTAAAATAAATATTTTATTCAACAACAAAAAAAAACAAAATAAAATAAATTGTTATATTTGCGAAAAAATTTTTCCTATTAGAATATTATGTAATAATAATAATAAAATGATAAATTTTTATTTATGATTAACTAGACTATAGATATATAAATTATTATAGATATCATATACTCATTAATTTTTTTTTATGTATAACATTGTACAGTGTATACCATAAAAATAATAATAATAATAATAATAATAATAAAAACCATTTAATGAAAACAAATAACTAATAATTTATTTTTGTATTGTATTAATATGTGCTGATATATTGTTTGTGTTATAAATAATACATCAATGATTTCTCTCTCTCTCTCTCTCTCTCTCTCTCTCTATTGTTTTGTTTTCTCACTAACCCACTCACTCACCCACCTATTTACTCAATCACTTACACACTGTCACACACACACACACACACACAAACATACATATATATATATATACATTCATAACAATAAGAGACTTATTGAGGTTGAGATGTATTATATAATATATATTTATATTTCACAAATAAATGATATATTAATATATATTTATAAATATATATATATATATATATATATATATATATAAAACTAAGTGTCAAAGCAATTACTATTGATTCCCACTATACTCTACTATAATTATTTGACTATTATTCAAAATGACTACCAATATATTGAATATATACTACGCTATAGATTACTAAAAAAAAAATAAAATAAAATAATTTTATAAAAAAATACAACAACTATAGTGCAACTAATGATATCTTAAATAATGCCAAATAAGATATAACAACAAAATAAAACTAAAAATAAAATAGCCATTTGTATTGTAATTTATCGATAGATGTATTACTAAAGTGATAATTAACTATAGATACTAATGTAATAATGTATTACTAATGTATTAATATATATACAGTACTGTATATATTAATTTTGTTTTCCTATATATAAATACAGTATAATCAATCAATAATTGAATTATAATAAAAAAATATAATTATTGAAATAAATAATAATGATTTTGAAAGGAAAAAAAATATTTTTGAAAACTTTATTTAACTTTTAAATGATTACTTACCAACAAATGGCAAATACGGTGACCACTAGTATCAACATAGCTATCCGACGTTTACGGGCATCCGATTGTTGACGTTTGCGCTGATCGGTCGACTGGCCGGCCAGTCGGCCCTGGGCAGCAATTACCCGACCAATGCGATAGTATAGCCAAATAGTTATACCTAACGGTATCAGATATTGTGTAGTAAACGCCTCGACCGACAGCCATAGCGGTAGACTGATTGTTATCGGCTCTGGCGATGACGGTGTTGACCACCAATCGATGGCCAGTTTCGGATAGTGTACTTCGCATCGGACAATCCGTATGGTCGGCATCGCCAGTGTTTCGTTGAACATCGAGTGCGGTACAGCCAACAGGGCGGCCAATAGCCAAGTAGTACCTATGGTAATGGTTAGCTGCAGTTTGGTCAGGGATTTGCCGCCGGCTGCAGGTGCCTCCCGACGGCGTACAGTCCACCAGCGGTGAAATGCAATTACGGTCATCGTAAATGTTGATACGTAAACGCAAGTAACCTGTAATAATGGTATGTAACAAAAAAACAAAACACACCGTAATTAACACAAATACGTGTAGAGTAGACACGCGCCCAAACGTGCGTAAGTATGATAAGCGTATAATAATAGACATATATATATATAGTTTGATTCACATATATGTTGTGTGTGTGTGTGTGTGTGTGTGTGTGAGTGAGTGTCTGTGTGTGTGTGTGTGTCTAAAGTCATAAGATATTATACATTACATAATACAATGTACTGTACATATACTTTAGGACTTAAAATTTTTTTTTATATAATAATTTATTTTATAAATGTTATTTTGTTTTGTTTAAAAAATAACAAAATATTTACATACATTATGTTTATGACACAAAATATTATATATGTTATGTTGACATTAATATGTTAGTACACTACTAGTAGTACTACTAATACTAATGTACTGTAGAGTTAAATATATATATTTTTAAATATATTATACAATATATTATAATTTATCTATTATATACTGTATATAGCGATTAGAGAGTTGACAGACTTTTTTTTTATTTAATAATAAAAAAATGTTATCAAAATAAAACAAAACAAACAAACAAAAAACCCGAACCGATAAAAACGTTTTTTTCATAATTTTGGTCCTAATTTTAGTTTAATTTTTTTTATTTACACAATATTTTTATATACAATTTGATTTTATTGTTTTTTTTCACTGACTATTGAATTGATTGTGTTTTGTTGTCGGTTTCGGTTTTATTTGTTTGTTTTATTTTGATAACATTTTTTAGTATTAAATATAAAAAAAATCTGTCAACTCTCTAATCGTTTTATAACACTTTATATACAACAGTATATAATAGATAAATCATAATATATTGTATAATATATTTTTAAGTTATATATATATATATATATATATTACTGTGGCAAATATATTTCGAGACAAATTGTAATATGAAAACTTAATAGATTTTTCTGCATTCGGTTTAATAATTAAAAATTATTTTTTTATGGTATTAAATAGTAGAGATATTCATTATTATTGTTAATTTTTTAAAATATTTTATAGTATAATAATTAAAGTTTTATAATGCTACAAAATTAGTAACCTCAATTTTTAGAATTGTATAATTTATAAAATCTAAGAAAAACTATTAATCCTGATAAAATAATAAAAGTATTTTTATTTTATTAGATTTCTGACAATTAAAGAATTATTTATGAAAAATTACAAAAAAATACAATTTATACTTATTTCTAAAAAACGAAAATAAATTTTAAAATGTTTTTGTTATTTATTAAAATTATATTATTCTAATAAATTTTTTAAAATGATTAAATATTATATTATGTTGCCTGCTTTTAAGAAAATAATAAAATAATTTTTTATTATTGACGAAAATACCAAACATTATTAAAAATTAAAATTGTGCTATTTTGGAAGACAAATTTAGACCTAATTTTAGATAAAATTATTTATTAAAAATTGTAAGCATTTGATAAACTTACTGATTTTTACTAAAAAATAAACATCAAATATTACTCTTTAAAATTAATATTTTTTTGTTTAAATTTATTTTTATTTTAAACATAAAAATATCAAAAAAGATTACTGTTTTAAAATGTCATTTATCAAATATTTTTGTAAATAATTCCAAAAACTTTTTAGACAAAGATATTAAACTACTATTATTTTGATAAGTGATAATCATAGAAAATATGTACATTAAAACAAAAATATAAAACATTCTAATATTCGAATTATTTTAGAAAAACTTAGTACAAAGATTCTGTCTCGAAATTTACTAGCCACAGTAATATTTTATAAATATTTAACTGTATTCACAGTACATTTAGTGTACTAACATATTAATGTCAACTTAACATATACTGTATAATATTTTGTGTGATAAACATAATGTATGTAAATATTTTTTAAACAATACAAAATAACATTTATAAAATAATTTATCATGAAAAATAAATTTTTAAGTCCTAAAGTATATGTATTATGTAATGTATAATATCTTATGACATTAGACACACACACATACACACGTTAGAGACATATTTGTGTAATAATGTACACATAATATATATTTAACGACTATTATTTGTAGTGTATATCCATTAAAATACTGTATGTGTCTGTATGTATGTGTGTGTGTGTGTGTAATTGTGTGTATAATTATGTGTGTGTATATGTATGTGTATATGTGTGTGTGTGTGATATAGTTATGTAATATCTAATGAATTTATTTCTATATTAACGCCAATATACTTGTTTTAAATGCCTTATGTGTTAATGTATTTTAATTTAAAAAAAACCAAACCATTAAACCATAAGTCACTATCTCTCTCTCTCTCTCTCTCTCTCTCTCTCTCTTTCTTTCTTTCTTAGACACCCACCCACACACAGTTGCATAGTGTAATACAAATATAGAAATTTACAATACATACACCCGATAGAGCACCTACCTGTACAAATGGTACCGACACACACATAAACGATCCAAACGGCCACGATTGTAGTAGCAGTCGGGCCACATTAAACGGTATGTTAAACCCGGTCATAACCAGATCGCTGACCGCCAGCGAGGCTATCAATAGGTTAGTTGTGGTCAACATTTTCGGTTTACCAAACAGTATGACTTTGACCACTAGTAGATTACCGACAAGCGATAACAATATAATTATTGTGTAGCAAAATATGACAATCGTATCGTGTATTAGTTGGCCGGCCGTTGCCGGCCTTTCCTGTAATTGTTTAATACGTTCCTGTATTAGCCGTAATAACTGATCCTCTGTTAGGTTGTTATTGTTGTTGGTGTAGGTGTTGGTGTCGATGCCGGAGATATTATTGTTGGTGTTGTGGTAGTAGTCATCACTGTATCCATGAAATAGTGTATTATTTATGTTTTGACTATCCATTAGCCATAACGGATCCATTGTTATTAAAAATGTTATTTTTAATTTAAGATTAATTAGTTTAGGATTATTATTAATTAATTATTAATGAAAAATAAAAATTAATTATTAATTTATAGTTATTTAATATTAAAAAATAAAATAATTTTCTTGTTGCTGATATAATTAATCTTATTATTAAATATTTTTGTTTGTTTTTATCAACTTTTATGTAGAATATATATATTAAAATTATTAATCCATGAAAAATATGTAAATTTTATTTATTTAGTTGTTTTTTTAAAATTTTTTTAGTTGTAATTTTATTAATTAATTCACTCACACACCACACACACAATGATTTATGTTAATAATAATAATGATAATTATTATTGTTATGGTTTTATGTTAAAAATATTTAATTAATTATGATTAAATTTTTTTTAAAATTTAATTTAATTTTTTTTAATATATAAACTATCAAATATTGTAAATTTATATATGCCAAAATATATTATTTATCACATTTATATTATTATTATTTAACATATAGTTTTGTATAAAATAATTTTTTAAACTTATTATTATAAATCAAATACAGTTATTGTTTTGTTTATTATACTATTTATTAAAATTAATCCAAAAAAAAATCTTGAATATATTTTTAATTGTAATTATATTTCACATTTACTGTTAACGTTAATATCAATTATGCTATTAATTAATCACAAATATTATTATTATTATTATTAAACTTTTGTTTATGTAAACTTTTTCGTACATTATTAAAAATTTTAAATTAGTTATTATTAATAATAATGATATTGATATGTTAAATATGGACAAACTTATAGATATAATTAATAATAATAAAATCAAATTAGATTTTCAACTATAAATTATTAGAAAAGTTTAATATTAAAGTAGAATTATTAGTAGTATTATTAAGAAATTTAATTTTAATTTAATTTTTTTAAAAGTGCTTTTGAGTATTAATGATAAATTATTAATTATAAATACATTACATATACTTATATAAATTATATATATATATATACTGTATTTAAATACTCTTAATTGAAATATTTTCACTTATGTGCAGCACTTAGAATATAACATTAACACATATACACACACACACTGTGTGATGAATAAGTGATAACAATCTAAGGGAAAGGCATAGAAAATTAGGTGAAAGAGAGAGAGAGAGAGAGAGAGAGAGTAACCAAAAAAAAAAGTTTTCTAACAGTGCTTGAAGTGTTGTTGTTGTTAGTTGTGTTGTTGTGTATGTGATATATATAAGAGCACTGTTAGGATTTTTATGCCAAACCGTATGTTATATACAATATATATCTATATATATATATACATATACAGTGTATATACGGTATATATATATTGTATATAACATTATTGAACGTAATAGACTGGCCAACAACAACAACAACAAAAATTTTTTAAATAATTATTACTAGAATTTATTTGATGTAAATATTGATTGTAAGTATTTTTATACTTAAATTTTGTTCAAATAAAAATATTAGTAAATATTTAATTATTCACAAAATATTATATTTATTTGTAGTGTCCAAACATCATAACTATAATTTTATTTATTTATTAATATCAAATGTAATATACAATAAAAAATTTATACAGGTATAGTTTAAAAAATTTAAAAATAAAATTTAAGCTAATTTTATAGCTAAATAGAATAATAATGTTTCTATAATACAAATTGTTTTTTTAAGTATATAATAAGTGTAACAAAAACATTAATTTAATTAAAAAAAATAAACTAAATTTAAATAATGTTAAAAAAAATTATACCAACAAAATATGTTATATATATATCGCAATATATTCACAAAAATAATTTTTCATACATTTGGTCACTCTATATATAAATAAGTATATTTTAGATAATGTTTTATGAGTGTTTAGCGCATGACTTTTTTTATAAAGACTACAATTTGTTATGTAATATACAGTATATATATATTGATAAAATCTTATATAATAAATATAAATTCAATAAAATTATATATACTGTATATATATATATATAGATAAATATATCATATAACATCATTATCAAAAAATTACTATAGAAATATACTCTAAATATATATATATATATAACTAAAATCTAAGTTGACATACAATAAATAGATACATCAAAAAAATAACTGATTGATAATTAATGGATAACAGCCAGGACAAAAGTATTAAATTACATGATTATTATTATTATTATTTTGTTGGCAATTATTAGCTAATTATTTACAATTTTGTCTCTCTCTCTCTCTCTCTCTCTCTCTCTCTTTTAAACATAATTATTCACTAACTCACTCACTCACTAACCCACCCACACATAAATACAAACAGACACAGATTTAAATATAATTAATTATCTAAGAGTCATATATATAATATTAAATAGATTTTAGATTAAGTAGACATTAAGATATATATATATATATATATATATATATATATATATACTGTATATAATTGTCTCTGTATTTATCTAATTGATCCCTAAATATATAAATATATATATATATATCTTAAATCCCAACTAAGATAATCTAAAAATTTCAAACTTACTTAAGTTTTAATTAAAACAAAAATTAGATAAAATTATTTTGTTATAAATAGACAGACAGACAAACAAAATTAGATTTATTTAAATTAAAAAAACAATTTTTTTATATACATTTTGTTGTTTTTATTTTTTTTCAATAACAAAAAATTCTGTAAATAAATATGTAAATTTTTTATATATAAATTAATTGATATTAATATTTAAGTTTCTAATCTAATTAATCTCTTTTATTGTTAAATATTGTCAATTAAATATATATATATACAGTATATAGATTAATGTGTTAGTATTAACAAAATAACTTAATGTTATTATATTAAATTTTTAAAATTTAATATTTGTTAGATTAAAATTTTATTTGTTACTAAAAATATGATTAAATTCCTTTTTATTTTTTTTTGAATAAATAAATTTAACTTTATATTAAAATTTGTTTTTATCTAATTTTTGGTTAAGATTGTGCCAAAAATATTTTGTATTTTAAAGATAAAATTATTATTATTATTATTATTCTCTATACTTTATTATATACTTTATAAATGTTGACAATTTAAAATAAAAAATTAAAAAAATAGTTTTCGCATAGTTGTGTACTTAATCATAAAAAATTATACACTTGTGTCCAATTAATTAAAGTATATATATTAAAAACAATTTTTATTTTATTTACAATATAATATCGTATATTATATAATAACTTTTGTTAACATAAAATTTTGTAAATTTAATTAATGTCTCTCTCTTTCTCTCACTCTCTTGTGTCTTAATTTTATTTTTGTTTAATTTTGTTAAATATTTTTAAAAATTTCTGTAAATTTAATTTAATGAAAAGTTATTTTTTGATTGAAATGGCATCCAGAAAATGCGTCTACAGTATTATAATAAATAGTCATTTTATCATCAATTTAAATTTGGACGTAATATAACTACTAATTTATTAATAGTATAATATTTTTAATTAAATTATTTAAATATAAAATGTAAAGTATTAATTACAAAATATATTAACCAAATAAATAGAGAAAATATATTTTAATTATTTTTAAAACAATTTTTGTTTTCATTTAAACACATAAAATAAAAATTTTTAAATCATAAATTAGTGTAAAATATTTATGTATTGGTATAAACAAAACAAAACAAAATTAAGTAACAAATAATTTAGTTTTTTCTAAATATAATTATATTTTGTTTTTTTTTGTTATTTATTTTGCAAAAAAAATATTCAAAGAAACATTTATCAATAAATTTAATATATATGTAAATTGTGGTAAAATTAATGGATATTTTACTTTCAAGAGAAAACTATCGTCAAAATAATTATTAAAATTTATAAATAGTTAGTTAAATCATTAGTTAATTTTTAAGTTAATTTAAATAAAAAATATTTTAGTTACATAAGTATTCAAAAAATTGATTTTCCAATTATTTGTTTAATTTTAAAATCATTATATATATAAAAAAATTGAATATTTTATTTAAAAAAATAAGTATTGAATATATTTTGATATATTATTTTTTTTAGCAATCATTATATTATCAGAAAAAACAACATTTTTCTTTCAAAAATATTTATATCAAATTTCATAAAATATAGAAAAATATAGTTAAAGTTATATTTATTTTTTATTCAATAATACCATAATAAACATGCAATGTATTAGTTTATACAGTATATACTATAATATAAATTTTATATATACTGTATATATATTCAAAAATAAAATTATTTTAAAAATTTATATAAATATTTATTTATTTTTCTCATTATTATTACTTTATTATCTCAATAATATGTTTTTATTACTGTATATTAGAGTACATCAATAGATATTTTAATTTTTTTAAAAATGCCGCCAAATATAATTTTTTCAAAAAAAGCTAAATGTAAAGTATATATTATGTTTGCTTTTCAATATTGTTTTAATAAAAATAAAATATTTTTTAAAAGTGTATACAATTATGTCTTAACAAATAGATATATATATATACTGTATTTACAATATTACCAAAAATAGATATTAATGTATAAATTATTACTTATATTGTAGTTTACTTTCAAATTATAATCATTAAAAAAAATAGACTTAAATTTTTATAAAAAAATGGTGTAAAAACTTTATTTTTTTAGAAAAATGTTTTATTTATTAGCATAAACTAAACTAATTAATTAATAACAATTTTAGTGAATTTAGTAAAATTATTAATTAAATACTAAATAGTAGGTTAAATATATTATTTAAATAAAATAAATATGACAACATATTTATAGATATAATGAAAATATAATATAATATAATTACAATTAATTTAATTATGAAATTAATTAATTTATGTGTCATTTAATTATGATTAAAATTTAATGTTAACTTTAAAAAAAAATTTGTTAAAAAATGTTTTATATTTGTGATAATAGATGTCAGATATAGTCGCG